GGGACAGAGAGAGACAGAGCATGAACGGGGGAGGGGCAGAGAGAGAGGGAGACACAGAATCGGAAACAGGCTCCAGGCTCTGAGCCATCAGCCCAGAGCCCGACGCGGGGCTCGAACTCACGGACCGCGAGATCGTGACCTGGCTGAAGTCGGGCGCTTAACCGACTGCGCCACCCAGGCGCCCCAAAAGAGAGAATCTTAAGCCAACTCCATGCTCAGCGCAATGCCCACCAACACTGAAGTCAATCCCATGACCCGGGAATCCTGACCTGAGCCAAAATCAAGAGTCCAATGCTCAACTGACTTGAGCCATCCAGGTGCCCCAAGAGTATCTTCTTGATAGAGTTGTAAGTTTCTATATACATATAGATTTTATTATGGAGAGAGAGATGCGTATATTACAAATGTATGCCTGTGTGTATACACATACATAATAATCAGTGGATGCCATCACTGTTCTAAGTACTTTACAGATGTTAATTTATCTTAATCTTCTTACAACCCCCTAAGGTAGGATGTAGCAGCAGCAGCAGCATCCCCCTTTTATAGACGGATTTGAGGGACAGAGAAGTTAACCAACTTGTCCAAGGTCAACAGGTAGGAAGTGGTGGAGCTGAAGCACAAACTCAGACAGTCTGGCTCCAGAGCTGACACTTACATTGTGTCACCTCCTTTTAACTGACTTGATACACAGAAAGGACTTACAGCAGTGCTCGGGACAGAGGAAGCTTATTCAATAGCATAAGCTATTCTTTAATAACCCCTCAAAGGTGGGTCTAAGAAGGGATTCTACTTGTGAGCTCTGGGATGGGATGGAGGGAAAGAGCACAGAGGTTTATGAAAATAAAACTTCAAGACAGGGGGTTAGGAGGTTAGAAAGGAATCAGCAAGAAGTGCTGCTATTCATTCAAGTTGGTATGAAAAAGATCTAGAAGTCCTCTCTAGTGCTGAGGATCCTGTTGCATTTCTGAGGATTCTTTTGATCATCTAGCCCTGCAGTAATTGTTAAGCCACTGATACTTTAAAAAGTCCACTTGTATGAAGCATTTTTCTGGTTGATTTTAAGACACATGCATAGTTAAAGCACTTTTTTTTTTTGGAAACTGTGCGGATAATAAAGGGCAATATATAGACACATTTTAGCACATACAGGGGCTTGAGGCTATTTTGTATAATAGCTCATTCCATTGTCCGGCATAGAGAAGGTGGTCAGTTTAAAAACATAAAACAGGGGCGCCTGGGTGGCGCAGTCGGTTAAGCGTCCGACTTCAGCCAGGTCACGATCTCGCGGTCCGTGAGTTCGAGCCCCGCGTCGGGCTTTGGGCTGATGGCTCAGAGCCTGGAGCCTGTTTCCGATTCTGTGTCTCCCTCTCTCTCTGCCCCTCGCCCGTTCATGCTCTGTCTCTCTCTGTCCCAAAAAAATAAATAAACGTTAAAAAAAATTAAAAAAAAAACATAAAACAAAACTGAAAAAACAATCACCCTGAAGTCCCTCTTCCTGGCCAAAGTCCATTGAGCTCTTTTACACATACACAGTCTTACACTTTCCCAACAAGTACTTATGGTTAGTTGAGCTATGACTCAGGATCCCAGGGTGGGGATCACTACGCGCCCAGGTCCCCCTTCACCGCCCTGGGAGAAGGATGGAGGGCAGAGGAGAGGGGGGTGGAACCGGTTCAGATCTTCCCACGGGACGTGCCTTCCGCCCGGCGGTCATCCCAGGCTGACCGACACCCAGGATGCGAGGCAGAGGGACCTGAACACACGCAGGTACCACTCCCATGCAGAGATAGCATCCCTTTGGGCAGTCATTGCCCTGTCACAGTGGGGCAAGTCCAGGGAGTTTTGCCAGCACTTCCTGGTCTGGTTCTGGTTGGGGAAGCGGCTGTCAAAAGGGGTAGTCTGGTAGTTCTTGATTTGGGTCGTTTTTTAAAGTTTATTTATTGTTATTGATGTATATTATTTATATATAATAATATGTTATTATTTGCTTATTTTATTTATTATTAATACTATTGTGAGAGAGAGAGAACAGGCACAGGTGCATGCAAGCAAGGGAGGGGCAGAGAGAGGGGGTGGAGAGAGAGTATCCCAAGCAGGCTCCATGCTGCCAGCGCAGATCCTGATGCGGGGCCTGATTCCACAATGCGTGAGGTCGTGACCTGAGCCGAAATCAAGAGTCTGATGCTTAACCGACTGAGCCACCCAGGCGCCTCTCTTGATTTTCATCTTGATGTCTTCTGCCATGGTTCTGACTCCTTCCTAAAGACACCCCCAAAGCAACTCTCAGCTCAATGTGACCCTCAGCCAAAGCACTTTGTGGGACTCCTGGGTGCCTCAGTCGGTTTAGTGACCAACTCCGGCTCAGGTCATGATCTCGTGGTCTGTGAGTTCGAGCCCCGTGTGGGGCTCTGTGCTGGCAGCTCGGAGCCTGGAGCCTGCTTCGGATTCTGGGTCTCCCTCTCTCTCTCTCTGCCCCTCCCCTGCTTGCTCTCGGTCTCTGTCTCTCTCAAAAATAATAAACGTGAAAAAAATAAAAATAAATAAAAATTTTTAAAAAGCACTTTGTAAAAAATTTGGATTGAGGTATAGTTGACACGTGCTCCTTTTTAACCAGTGTCCCTCAACCGGCCTCTTGGAGCGCTAAGCAATTTGCTGCAGCCAGCGACAGAAATGGGGTTACTTCCTGTGCTCTGCCAGCCCCCCACTTAACCTGGGACTCCTGGATCCATAAAGGACACTAGAAGTCGTCTAATCAGGCCCCTTTCTTGTAGATGTTGGCCAAACTGTTGCAAAGAAACATTAGGTGACTTTTCTAAGGTCTAAAGGTAAAATCACTCATTAAAAAAAAAAATCCTACATGTATTGAGTGCTTATTCTGTGTCAGGCGCTGTGTCAAGCAATTGGGAAAGAGAGATCAACAACAGCAACAACAAATAGCTCTGATCTCTAATTGCTTACGGCCTGGTGCATCAGAAAAATGTAAAGTATATAGTGTGATAGGTGTTAACAGATGTGGAAATACAAAGCACCGCTGTCCCTGGAGAGATCAGGGAAGGCTTCCCAGAGAAGGAGACCCTGCAGCTGGATGTGTCCAGCGGAAAGAATGGAATGAGAGAGGCAGCATGGAAGGTGAGGATGCTGAGGGAGTCTTCCTTGAGGCACAGGCTGGGCTGCAGCCCCCAGTCTCTGGCACCTCACTGCCAGGCGACCCTGAGCTCTTCATCCAGCCACACCCAGCCAGCTTCCAGCACTGCTCTTGCCCCAGGGTTGGGATCGCCAAATTTAGCAAAGAAAAATACAAATTAAATTTGAATTTCGGCTAAGCAATATTCTGTAGCATAAGTATATCCCCAGAATATGCACGGGACATACTGATGCTACAAAATATTTGTTGTTTGTCTATGGCCATACCACCCTGAGCGCGCCCGATCTCGTCTGATCTCAAAATATTTGTTGTTTATCTGCTGTTCAAATGTAACTGGGCATCCTGTATTTTATCAGGCAACTCTACCTGGAATAAAGGCGTATTTGTGGGAGTAAGACAGTGGGAGAGGAAGGGAGGGAAGAAGACCGGAAGACTCTCAGGCTCGAGGAAAGCAGATTTGTTGAGACCTAAAAACCACACAAAATCTGCCCTTAACATTACTACTCACTATTTCATTTCTGTTTTCATTTCTCCAGTTTTATCGGGACATAATTGGCCTATAGCACTGTATAAGTTTAAGGTGTACAACATGATGATTTGATATACACGTGTGTGCGCGTGTACATATTGCAATGTGATCACCACAATAAGCTTAGTTCACATCCATCCCCTCACATAGTTACATTTTGTTCTTGTGATGAGAGTTTTTAAGATCGACTCCGTAAGCAACTTTCAAGTATAGAATGTACAGTCGTCATGTTGCACATTACAGCCCCATCCCTGTTTTCGGTTCTATATAGCACAAGATCAACAGTGGTTTCCCCTTTTTTCTTAGAAAGTCTGCCCCCGTGTGGTAGGAAAAAAGTACTAGGCCAGAAGCCTTAATTCTGGTCTTTCAGTTCATTGGGGCAAAACGCCAGCGATCTGGAAAGCAGGATGTGATGCTAGGACTTTATGTTTGTTTCTCCGTTTGTTCCAGTGGGGGATAGGGGAGGAATGAGCAAAAGATGAACGGACTACATGGAGACTATTGTTAGAACAGCTTGAAAAATTTGTTCAAAGCACCCTTGTAACTTTGTGCAAACCAGCATCACCTCAGTGCCCAAGCTGTTTGGGTCAGAAAACATGTTAAGAGACTGTGCCTACAAGTCATGCAGTAGAATATTTAAATTGAGACACACATAGGAAATGGTCAAGTACTAAATGTCGGCGGTGAAAAAGCCACCATGGGCGGCTGCCTGGGTGGCTCAGTGGGTTGAGCATCCGACTCTTGATTTTGGCTCAGGTCACGATCTCACGGTTCATGGGCTCGAGCCCCAAGCCGGGCTCCATGCTGACAACAGGGAGCCTGCTTGGGATTCTGTCTCTGCCTCTGTCTCTCACCCTCTGTCTGTCAAAATAAATAAATACTTAAAAAAAAAAAAAAGCCACTGTGGTGATCTCGGCTGTGAAGGAAGTCTGGTTTGTGTGCCTCTTCTAGTCATTAACCTTAGCAGGGAGCCTGATCCCCAGGCGGAATCCGCCAGTTCCCAGGTAGGGGTCGTCGTCCGAGTGGATGCTGCTCATGCTCCCCAACCGTGAGAAGAGACGAGACTGCCATTTGCCTCAGCACCACACTTCTCATACGGCCATCCTGCCAGGTAACTCCGATGCCTCTGTGAGCACTCCTCCAAAAACCAGGCCTCACAGCTCTGAATCTCCTCACCTCCGGGACCTTACTCACAACCTCACGCCTCACGCCCACAGACATGGCTTCCGCTTTGCCGTCTCTGACTACACCTCCTCTTTTGAAGCCTCCAACTCCAAAATGTTACCCTCAGACAGGGCCATGGCTCTCTGACCTTCCTACTTTCTCACTTTTCCATTAAGCCTATTCCTTTAACTTCCACTAGACTTCCAGAATCCTGAGCAGTGCCCGTTTTCCCAGCCTCGCCACCCCCTTGTGACTTCACGTCCTTCCCTCAGCCTGGACGCCACACGTGACCACTTGAAGAGCTTCCTCACCACCCGAACCCCTCGGCCTCTATCAGCCAGGCCCAGCCCCCGAAGCTGTCCCCCGTCCCACCGTCTGTCTCCCTCTCCTTCAGGGAGACGACCAGAGCCGAAGCAAGGGGCCCAGCTGGGCAGACTGGTGCCCATCCACAGTGAAACGGCCGGCTGGGCCCAGCCCGCAGAGCTTTCCTTCAGTTCTTTTACCTGTCCTTCATCCGTTGCCTCTCCCTGCCGTTCTTCCACTCCTCCAAACCTTCCACGCCTCTAGAACCTCCACCCCCTCATCTACAAACTGGGGTAACTGAGGCGCGTCCGCAGCGGCCCATCTCGACACACACCACCGATACACCGACCTTGCCGCCACTTTCCCCAACACCCGCCGCCATCTGTATTTGTCTCACTCGGAACAAATGACCTTCTCTCGCAGAGAAAAGAGAAGGCACGAGGTGTGGGGAGGCGGGGGGGCGGTCAGTCTTGACTGATCCCCACCCACTTGTACGAACTTGCCTCTAGAATCAGAGCCTGAGGGGCCGCTCCTCTTTTCCCAGGCCGGTCCCTCCTCCGGGGCTCTCGGTCCATCCCTGCTCTCAGGTGTGTCTTCGGCCCCCTTCCCCATCGCCTCAGCTCACCTGCACGCCCCCATTGTGCGCCCTCCGTCCCCTCCCTGACGCCCCCGCCCGCGCAGATGGGTGTCTGCTCTCACGGCCCCACCGAAACCGCTCTCCCCGGGGGTCACCGGTGTCGCCAGAGTCATCGCGAGGGTCTCGGCTGCCATCCTGCTTGCCCCTGCTCGACACTATTGGCCGCTCCCTGATACGCTGAAGTCCGTGAGGGCTCAGTGCCGGGCCCTCTACACTCTTCCATCGACACCCTCTGCCACGGACGGCTCGTCCCGTCCCAGCTCATGCTGACTGTTCCCAGATCCCCATCTCCGGCCTAGTGCTCTGTCGTGCGCCATACAGCCCGTATCACAGCTGAGGCTAAAGGCCCTTTGAGACGAGACCCACACGCAAGAAACGTTCATTTATTTTCACATCTACCTGCAGGACGAGGCATTTGCCAGGCAGTCTGGTGCTGGCTCCCCTCACCCCTCTGCTGAGTTCAAAAGTGGCCTCCGCTGCTTCTTGGCTACGTGATCTGGATGAAGTTACTTGACCTCCTCGGTCCGACGAGATTAATAACGGTGTCAACCTCAACGGGTTGCAGCGGGTGTTTCCCACGTATGTGTCGTATACTCTGCCGCTCGGTCTGCCTGGGCCCGAGTCCCGGCTCTCCTGCTGCCTCCGGTCCTCTCCTCTGCAAAATGAGGAGAACGACACCGTCTACCACCTAGGCCTGGGCTGGCCATTCAATAAGTGGACACGGAGGGCACTGAGAACGGCTCTCATCAAGCGTTAAACAGCAACGCTATGTCATCCCCAGGAAGGCAAGGAATGCCTCTGCGGGCCTGTCGGAGCACGGCCATCTGGATCTCATTCCTGGTTCCCCTTGCCATATAGGAGACACATGTATACGTGCTCCTCGAGGCCGGCCAGGAGACGGAAGCGGCACCAGGACAACAAATGTCACCTGGCGCAGCCCCCGTGTCACACTGCTTCAGGGGCAGCTCTTGCGCGGGAATGAAAGCCCGGCCAGCAATCCCCAGCTCTGATTTCTTACAGCTGGACGTTGCTACGTGACACTCCCCTGAGGTCCGAGTGGCCTCTCCCGGACTGTCAGCATCCTGCTCTTTCTTATCTTGAAACTGTCTCTGCGGCCCTAAACAAGGATCTGCTGTTCTTAATTTTAAAGAAATGGGAAAGAAAAAGTTATTAACCCTTAGCAGCCCTGTCCCCTGGCTGCAGCTGGGAATCCAACCGTTTTCGGAACCCCTCCGATAGGCCCTCTGCGCCGCCCAGCGATCCTGCACCTTCTCTCTGGTCGCCGTGGGCTTTCTCTTTCCCCAGTGATGTTTTCAAACTTCCCTCGCTCTCCTTACGTCTCCCATTTTGCCATCGCCCCGACTCTCCCTGCCCCACGCCTCTCTCCGTGCATGACTGTGCCTCCCACTTCACAGAGAGAATTGAAGGACATCGGGTACAGGACAACCGCTCAACGTTGACAAATG